ATATTCGAGCTTTAATGTCTTGACATTACTAAGATGTTTGCGGCCAACTCCTAATCAGTCAGCTTAAGTTGTTACATCAGCTTCCTCCTAGAATCGACTTCCTTAGGAGTGTCGGTTCGACCAACTTATCAATCAATAACATATCATTTCGGTTTCTTCAGCATAGAGGAGAATTACTAACTCGTTTAGTGTTTGACTTTCAATCGATGATCCCAAAGCCCGGTCAGAATTCGGAGTTACTTCTTGAATATCACATACATTATTGACTTTTTGTCCTATCTCGTTGCATTCACCTTCTACTATTTGTCGCTCATGACTTAACGAACATGTCCTTTGTGTGAGGATCAGAGCTTGTAAGAGAATGGAAGGCAAGCAAATGAAACAAGAATACCTAAGGGAGGCTGCTAGCGGGTCACCCAACACCATGTTGGAGAGGTACGATTTTCCAGTGCTATGTTCGGCTATCAAGTGTCTACTCATCTGCCTTTTCAGTTGCCCTAAAGTAGAAAATAAAGAATCAACTTTAAGGAAGAAAATAATTAAAGCCAGTTAAACCTGAAGAATCGCTCCACTTTTAGTGAAAATTAATCAGTTACAAAAAAGGAATGTACAGTTATGAGTGACGGGTGTTCGATTCCACATAGTTGTTTCGTTTACAGAAAGGATTGGTGGTCTAGATTGACGTAGACGCAGCGTAGACATCTTGAGCACGAAAACGTGTCGAAACGGAAAGTTGCTTACCTTAACAAATATATACGTGAAGCTGCCAGAAGTTGGATTCATCACCAATCTCGACCAAATGTATGATCTTCAGTCTGTGATAACCGCCTTTAATGACTTGTGTCGTGAACGCGGATACAGAAATTATCCGCTGATCAGAAAAATAAAAACGTGAGATTCCGAAAATATCATCGTAAATAATAAGAGTCCTAGAATCGAATAGGTTTCTTAGGGTCAGAGACATAATCAGAATCTTATAGATTCACTATTTCGTTGACTTGATGTTAATTTGCGTATCTTGGTAAGACTATGTTATTATTATGTTTTTTGCAGTTGCCTAGGAATCGAGCTGTTTTATACCTTACAAGGGTGTATGTTTTATTAGCCATGAGTTTCGCCAATAATCGACCACCGTAAGAAAATACTGCAGTCAGGCTTACTAATGACTGAAGCGGTTTATTTGTCAAGTGCGTGTCCTAGCACCCAGGATGACATCGATTTGAGTGCATGAGAGCATGGTGCTTTTGTTCACAAAAATCACATTCATACGGTGTTCTCTGACTTCAAGAATGGGTAACTACGCCAAAGTGTCCTAACAAACCACACTGACATGCATAATATTAGTCGGTGGTTAAGCGCTTAAAGTATGAACAGCACAAGCGTTCTCTGTTCATACTAACAATAATCAAGCGGAAAAACCACATGTATGGTAGATTTTTGTTATGCTGTACTGCAAAAATACTACAAAGATATATGCACTGTTATATATACAATATAAGGTTTCGTCACATGACAGTAGTGGTAATTTCTTGGATTTTGTATAGAAAACTGACAATCAATGGTTCAACAGGAGTGCAACCGTAAGAGCCATACTGTAAACACAATCTTATGATTACCTAGTCGATCAGTTATCTAAATTAGTGCTCACAGATGGATGGTTAAAATTAACTGTCCATACAAGGTAGTCATAAGCATTAAGTTGAATAGAAACTGTAGACCAGTCCGTTTGAAGTTAAGTATGTTAATTCAATACAGCTTTTCCTTTCTTAAATCCTGGACAGGGTTTCGGTAGAGATCCTTTTCTTATGTTGTTGTTTCTTGCGGCCAAGAACTTCCTGGCATGTTAGAGTTAGTGTCTCTCTGATCACTTTCTAGTCGTTCTCTATAGTAGTCTACTCTTCTTCGAATGGATCTTGTAAGGATTTGTAGAATTATGGTCTACTATGATATTAGTACTGCTCTTATAATAGACCTAATCCTAAATTTGTAGATTTGTCATGATATAACTGCCCAACCTATAAGATCTTACGTGGAAGTCACACCATCGACTACACCAACTCACTGTATCGTATCAATTACCAGTACATGATGTAGAACAAGGTTAGGCTAGAGAAGGGACAATATATTTAATATGAATAGAAGATATAAGGTAACATTCAGATGGACCACGCCTGTATGGTCGAGCTATGTCTTCCGATCAACTCCAATTCATTCAATTATCTGTTCCCGCCTTTTCCATCGTTAGGTATTTCTCCGCGTTAAATATTGAATACTTATTTTCCGAGTAGTGTTGTGTTCAGCTTTGAAGATTGTGTGGTTATGATCCAATGCCGCTACAGATTCCTCTTGAATTCTTTGAGTTTGACAGTACTGCTGAGGAGGGATGTATGGGTTTTATTGATGCTCTTTCTTCAGTTGTCTAATTCTTTTTCTTAACAACCACCAAGAGGTGATCTGAAGCTACTTTACCTCCTTTCTTTGCCCCCACATCCTCCAAGGGTCATCTGACTTTTTATTGATGCACATATGATAAATCTGTTCTTTTGTGGTGTAGTCCGATGATACCCATGTAGCTTTGTGTATACGTTTATGGGAGTATATTGTGTCACCCATAACCATTTTAAGACATAAATTTGCAAATCTCTCGATATTCCCCTTGCTTCCTCTCAATCCTTATCGTCCCATGATATCTTCATACTCACTATTGTCCATTCCGACCTTAGAGTTTAGATATATATCAGGATGATCATTTCCTTTCCTGGTCACTTCTCTACGGTCAACAGGAGCATCCCATAGAAATTATGTTTGTCGTCTTCATTACTATGGTTGGTAGTGCATAGCACTGACAAAATTCACTGTAACCCCCTCCCTTTTTGTTTGACGGATCCTCTGATGATTTTGTGTTCATAAGATTTTCATTCTATTAGCACTTTTCGTGTTTATTTAGCAGCATCAGTGCAACACTGTGTGTGCTTAGCATTTTCACGACCATCTAACAAAACCACCACAAAATTATCAGCACAACCAAAAATCATTCTCCGTTTTTCTTGCTTTTTCTGGTTTATCACTACATGATGAATTAAACACGATGTTCTGACAGCATGTGAATTTCAGAAACCTTTACAAAGTCCTTGGGCATATTATTTTCAACACTTATCGTACGTGTCGTGAAGGCAGCCACTCTGAACAACCTACGCCCCGAACTCAGTGAAATATGTTTCACTGCTTCAAAATACACGGCTATCATATCTATGTTCTTTTTCAAAGGCAATAGAACAGCAAAATGGCCGCTGTGTTGGCTACCGACAGTGACTTAGTATCTGAATATACATATGAAAACTTCATATCATAAAGCTAGCAATGCTGATATTCTAACGTCTGTACTTTGTATGGTTGATAACTCTCCTTTTGAATTCTGGGTGTGAAATAGGTTCAAAAATAATCCATTATAGTAATGTTTTTATGGCGTATAGGTGTTTTTTTCCCATAACCTCTGGCCAACCCCCTAGAAAGTTCTAGACCTGCTGTGGTGCATGTTACTTATATCGATATAATTAGTATATAACGCGAGTTAGTAATGTAATGTCTGGCAGCGAAAGATTGGGAAGATCAAGAAAGGAAGAACGAGAGTAGAAAACAATTAGTATGGAAATGCAAGAACAATGAAGTCCGAGACAATTACTGAACATTTTGCGAATAAAGTATTATAGTGTGGTTTTTCTATTTTACTAAGTAACTCTGTAATTTTGCGCTAAATAATTCAGTTGTCCTCACCTGTGTTCTCCTCCATCACACTACCACGACCGCCAGCCATCACTCATAATGGCTTTTACGGTGATAAACACCATCAACCCTACTGTCGAAACGACTTTCGGTATTATGTAATTTTCTTTCTGATCGATCAGACAAACTGATTCGATAAGAATCCTTAAAACTATCTAGTTCAATGCCACGATCATCCCGATTAGATTTTGCTTTTTCTTGTAGCGTGGCGTCGAGTCGTGATTAACTATGAACACCGCTACCAAGAAACACGTGCCAAATAAATCAGAAGGCGAAGGTCGAACGTAACCAGGTTTATTTGGTTGGCGATCTCGTGGTATTGAACGAATACTGAGATCGTGCCAAGGAATGGTACAAGTGGAAGCAGGAGAAAGGAGTACGTGCGAACAGTACCAAAAACCGCGAAACAATGATGGATGGTAATGGAAGCACAAAATGGCTATAATTAGCACAGTTAAACAAAAGCACATTAAAACAAGCACTGGTACAGTTGGTTATAATAATAATTTTTTTTATTAAACCAGTCGTGTTCTCGTGATAAATGTGAGTCACTACATTCTTTTCATTCTTCCCTAGTTTTCTGGGTTTATATTTCCCGTTTAAACTATCTTTCATCTCATCTACAAACAAGCTAGAACTATCATCATTATTAATTATTACTATATAGTAATTATATTACCCCTATACATAATTCTGAACCATGGTGCATAATGATACGAAAAAGTGCTTGGTTTGTCAAAGGGGACTCGCTGTCTACGTTGGCTCCATTGTCACCCACCACATTCCACCTCAATCCCTTCTGGGTTTACTGACTGTTCGAGGCCGGGATACAGAAGGAGGTTTAGGCATGAAATCAACAACTCCATCCCGTATAAGCCAACCTTGCTGAAAAAGCCAGCCAGAAAAAAACAATCCAGACCATTTGGACTCTGTCTTAGAGTTGGAGGATCTCCATTTAAAAGAAATATGTCACTTCATGGTGAACGATGAAATTTTCCGGAAGCCACGAGGCCGATATCCCTCTTAACTATCACGGCATCAACTAATGTATGCACATGGGAATTCCGGACAGTATGGTAAACCGTTTTAACAGTCAAATAGCTGCACAGACAAGAAGATACAGTATGATGGTGTTTGAAAAAAAGTAAAACCCATTAGGTCCAAGCTAAACAGAAAAGACTGTATTAAGGGTTATTGAACATCGTGTGTTTTACCGTAATCTTTGTTGGGGTTTCAAAGCATCTAGTCAGCTGATTGGTTTGAAGTATGGTATTTCACTTGTTTCCAGGACCAATAATAATCTGACTGATATGCAGTTTTCTATCCTCTAAACACCTTCCGATAAAGCTTCACAATGGGGTCCTCGCGTTGTGTGGTATTGTAGATATTAAAGTCATCTAAAATGGAAAACTTTTCTAATTATTTTAATACTAATGGTTCGGTCGTGGCTAATGGAAAGGTAAGTTCATCCATATATATATCACTGCCCTGCAGACTAATTCATACCACAAAAGCGATGTGTGCATCAACGATAGTTTACCGAAAGAGTTAATCATCAGGTGAGTAGGATTGGCAACTTTCTAAATCCGAATCCAGGGTTTTTTCTTACTTAGATATCACTACTCTATGCAAATGCTCTCAAGTTTGTAAAGTAAGCTGCCTTTTTTTCACCAGCCTTTTGATAGTTTTGGTATGAATGTGCTTTCGATGGGAGCAACTGGAAGAGTATTAATTTATTTGACTTCCAGCGATATGTGCAGGTAATTTCTATCGTCCAACTAACTCAACATGAATAGCCCAAAGTAGTTGAAAAAATCGCCCAGAGAAGTCGCGGCTTCCTCCGTGAGTTGAGGTTGAAAGGCTGCCGAAATGTTACTGATGAGGCTCTAAAGTGAGTCCGATTGATATTTTATCTTTGCCCACGAATTGTACTGCTTATATGTTAACTTCCTATGTTGTTATTGGTTTTTCATACACTTGTCTTAAGTACACTTTCAACTGAATGATTGTCTGTGTACATTATAAAAACATTAACGTTATTCTTGCAGAGAAAAACTAGTTTGTTGATATTTTATTCACATCGTTCAAATGGTTAGTCGTTGTCCTGTATCAAAACTAAATGATTGGGGTTTTATGAACTTTTAGATAAAAGTCCGTCCTCTTGATTATTCCATCTATAATTTATGTGGGGTTTGGCCATTTTAATTTGTAAATACTAGGTTTCCATTATTTGAAGGGTCGGTGTCTACTTAAAATATCTGTTGTGTCCATCGAGTCTTAAGGTATTATATTCAGAATATTGATGAAAAAGCTTGGCTAGGTGTAAGGATCGGCTTTCCTTCTACCAGTTTTCGATATTTGTCGCACTCAGAATCAACATCTGATTCAGTCTATCGAAAACAGCAAAACGATCGACGTTGGACAACCTTCTTCCCTGAAATCTGGTCAAAATTGCACAGTGACGGTTATATGGAAAAAAGGTTTTCTCATTTCTAAGGTGAAAGCTATTGTACGTCATCTCTCCATTGACATTCTCCAGCACATCCTTTATCAAAACGGAGTACTTTTACATGCAGTTTTTAGTCAACTCGTGAAGTTTATAAGCAGACAGGTGACTATTTAGTGATTGTCCTCACCTAGTATTTTAAATCCTGCTACAAAATTTCCTACTAGACTACTGTTAACTCTGTATTACATCATTCATTCTTTTGGCTGGTTATTGTAGTTCGACGGATGACTGGTTTCGTTCTGTTTAGTTGAAAGTTTACACACACCTCTTAAGTCTGTCAAAAACAAAGCAAGATACGTCATGTTCATAAAGACTTTTTATAACGAGCACCATCTGGTGACTAACCTTCTTGTCTTCTTGTTATAGATGTTTTACTGAACTTTGTCATATGATTGAAAGTTTGGACTTATCGGGATGTCAAAACTTGACGAATGGAACTTGCGATTATTTAGGGAAAAATTGTTCTCTTCTGACTACTTTGTCCTTGGAAAGTTGCTCTCGTATAGATGATGCTGGATTAGAAATGCTAAGGTAAGTGTATTAAAAATTTTCTCATTAGTCAGCAAATATTTTTTCCGTCATGCACTCATTGGTTCTGCATATAGTTTACAAATTTTCCTTTCCATGTCATGGTACCTACTATTACACCAGGTTTTATTGCATTGAGTGATGTCAGATTAATGACCCAATAAACCTCTTGCCGTTAATTGATTATCCCATCACTTTTATTTTATTTTACTGTGTATGGTCAAGTGTCCGAAACTCCTAACGATTTCCCTTTTGTTCACTCGGATAATCATTCTTATTGTTTTTACATGCAGTTTACATCTTAGTGCACCAACCGTCATAGTAACGAAGTCGATTAATCATTCTTTGTGTCAGGTGAACGTTTTTTTCTCAAATCAGTTCATTGGTGGATGAGGCAATCTCAAAAGCTATCAATATATTCACTAGTAATTGCTTTGGGTTACTGGGTATTTAATTTATCTTAAGAAAGGAAAATATATTCATTACCTAGTCGCACGAAACTAATGTCTTTGGTTTTGCACAATATTATTCGGGTCTCAGTTGACTGTGGAGGTTACACATGCTGAAACATCGCCTACCAATAATATCTGAATCTAAGTTGAAAAATGATTGCGTACGATGTGACAATTGGTCTACATTTAATGGTCCTTGAAGTATTGAAAATCTTGCTTATTTCATAATATTTACGCTTCTGATCATTTTAGTATTTTCACTATATTATTGCAGAATACGTCAGCATGAACTAATATGTACCTTTACATGATTTTCTGTTTACTTATTTCACTATGGAATTTATATGTAATTCTGTTAAAACTATGTAGTGATACTGGTGGCTAATTATTCTAAACCGTAATAAATTCATTTTTGTTATAACGTTGCTTAACCCCAGAATAGGTCCACTATAAAATTATTAGAACAGGAACTGTAGGTATTTACAGCTACATTAGCTATATTATATCTTTCTAGGTTTGGTACATCTGTGGATTTATATGTAGAGGTTTCTGTATCATTATCTCAGTCGGGTATGTCACATTCTTAATAATGTTTAATTTTCTTCAAGCCACCAACACAACCTACCAGACGGATATCCAATTTCAGGTTTTCGCTAATTAGCTGTAAAACACTAGTATCTCCCATGTTATGATAGTTTTTATGTTTTCTTCCATCAATGAATTCCAATTTCAAACTAAAGTCAAGGAGTGTTTCTCTAAATCATCCAACCACAGTCTCGATTTGTTTGTTGTTTTATTGACTGTGGGTATCCAAATTTCCTGAAGTCATTGAAACAATTGGATTTCACTTGAACTAGAATCTAGACTCCCAAACCTTGATACATTTGAATAACCTAGAAATGTACAGTTTAACCTAACACATTTCATTTCAAAATAAATTGTATTCGAAATTTGTTAAGATTCCGTTCTGTCTGTTTAAATCTCGGTTTTCCGCACACTAGCTGGTGTTCAAACCTAACATGTTTGGATGTGTCATGGTGTAGTGTTGGAGATCGTGGGCTAACCGCTATCGCCAGAGGATGTAAAAGTTTACAAAGATTTCGTGCTATAGGTTGTCAAGAGATAACAAGTCGTGGTGTGGAACAATTAGCACGTCACTGCCATGGTTTATTGCTGTTAAACTTGAATTACTGTGGACAGGTATGTATATTTCAATCTGTGTGTCATGGTTAGAATGTATTCACTGAGCCACCCCACTGATCACTAATATAATATTTAGAACTAATTATCTCTTAGTAGGTTCTCTCAATTTGTAAGTCAAATGTTCGAACTCTGCTATTCGTAATAAAATATACACGAACAAGTAGTAACATTGACCCTAACTCAGTTACTATAACTTTTAATCTAGTTGACTTAATATGACATTGGTTACATTGGTTGATTGAAAATAGGTATTTATTGATGAATATTGATTTAGCAATCAGATTTGTATTTGCTCTTTAGAAATGTAAGTAATCTAAAAAATGCTCTCATTATAAAAGTATAGAAATAGAATAGGAAGAAATCAGGACGGCTATTCTGTAATGAAAAAATGTATTACCTGTTAGATTGTTATTCGTCTGACTATTAACTTTGGGAATCCAGTTTCTTAATAAGTAGAATCACCCATTTAACTAGTAAACAAAACAACATAGAGTCTCCAAAGATATTGGATCACTTACAATTGATTGATCACTGGGTGATGATCAATATCATGTATGTGAGGTCCTTCTTAGTACAGATCGAATCCTGTCGACCAAGTTGATATGTGGCCACTAGTCTAGGTTGCTCAACATTGCGTCCACTATGTTGAGATAAGATGGTGGTTGGATCACTCTAAACGTCCCCAGTTGACAGCGAAAAATCAACGCGATAGAAAGGTTAAAAGTATTTAAGCCATAAATGTTACAAATATCCAATTCTCATAAATTAATAGTGAAAACGTTTTCTGTGTAATCCTTGTGTGTATATGCAAAAATACACCATTTAAGTGCAGATTCCAAATATAGTTATAATAGTAATATAAATAATTAACTTATCATGTACAGGTTTATGCATTCTGTTCTTAACCACGATTTTGTCGTATGATAGCTAGTAATACTACCTGACCACAAACCGAACTAGGTGGGGCGGGGTTGAAGTTTATGCCTTAGTGGTGCAAATCCTAATTATCTGGCTACTAAACCACACATATTAATAATAGACAAGATCATTTTCTCTGTTTACTACTTGTTTGTCCACACTCCATCGAGAAGAGTAGTGTTTGAATTGCTGACCACTTGCTAACTGACAGGACCGAAATCATGGGTAGACATTTAGTAACTATTAGGTGTGATATGATGGAAAGAAAAGTCAATTTTATTCTGTATAATATGCGGTATTCTTGTATTCCATTGACATGAACTATGCTCTATATGTGATTTGTTATAACTCTAAGTATTTCTCATATATGTGATTTCATTCTAATTATTAATCAAAGTATATGTAGAATCAATATATAAGTGAATGTATTTTCGACTAGCGTTATCATCATCGTGTTCTGGGTTAATAAATGATCACTTATACCAGTCTTTGTGTTCTTACTTTCGCGTCATGGGAATTGTAGAGGTCCCTCGTTCCGAGTATAAGTGATAAGCGTTTCCGACATAACAATCAGTGAGGACCAGATACAAAAAGTAGCATTAAAAGAGCCAAGACAATAAGCATTCAAACGACGAGTTATAATAAGGTGCTCTATTCTAAGGATTATAGTAGTGAACAGTGGGGTAATAACAGATAACACCTAATTAATTCTTCAAAATTAACTGTTGCGTACAATAGCAAAATATTCAGAAAATCGTTTTCTCATTTTTATGCAAAGGAGGATTATATCAAAGGTGTTCATAGAAATAAAAATTGTAATAAAATAATCTGGAAGTACAAATATTAAAACTACAAAACAGGTGAAAGTTTAATATACGATAGAGCAAGAACTCATCTCCGTTATTTTTTTCGATTTGAAGCCATGTTACCCGTCTCTGGCAACTGATGAGTCCAATCATTTACCCGTCCATACTCTCTCAATCAGATTAGTTCAATATTGATATCTGGAAGTAAGCAGGCGCTAATTCCATCCTAAACATTTGGTTTTGACTTACAATCCCACAACAAATTCATGATAAAAAGTCATCAAAATATCGAGCCTCAACCTATAATAAACATTCACACTTGTTTGTTTTGACAGATATGCCTGTCATATATTTCCTCCAATACAAAACAATATCGTCAGAATTTCCTAAATGATATAGTTAAATGTAATATTCAAACTCTATGGTATGGTTAATGTAAGTTATCTTTAAGTCGATTAGAAATGACGCTCAACTGTATCTAGTACATTTCTCAGATATTTTTCAGAACTGAAGCGAGAATGTTATATCTTGTTTTCCCGTCTTTGTACTGAACACTGTGTCATGTGTTAAAAGTAGGAAAGTTTCGAAAGATTCTATCTTTGTTATGATTCGCTGTGCTTGATTATTGCCACGATATTTTTTCTTTGCTTTAATATTCATATTATTGTACTGACCAAAGTAAAAGTGGTATTTTAGGATTCTTCAGAGCATTTAAATCGATTATTTCATTGGTATTAGTTACATTAAAAATGCTTTATAACAGTCAGTCACACGCAACGTAGAACGTGGTGCATGTGTGTATCGATTTAAGTTCCCGTACACTATTGTCATAGTGAGATAGAATTGTTGAGGAAATAGTAACAGTACTAGTGATGGTAGAAAAGCCTAGACACTGAAGATACGATTCAATAAAAAGAAGGATCGATGTAATAAAAATAAGAAAACAATAATTGTGGGGAATCTCGAAATTTAGGATCTAAGGCAGAACAAAAGGTTAGTGCACCTGTGTCATTACGAATGATTCTGAGCCATATCACTTAAAGTAGAAAGGGGCGAACTGGTGCTCAATATAATCGTCCTTTAGTTAGCAGATGGATATCTCATCTACTGCACGATTAACGCAAGTTGGCAAAGCCAATTAACCCACCAGAGATGATGATACTTCTTTGATATGTGACGTGGTCAACACAATAAACTCTTCACTGCCTATTACTAGTTCTGAGGCTGATGTGAACCAGTCCTGAAGCAACATTTTATATTTAAATGGAAAGGAACAACAGTCAGTTACTTATGAAAATTGGTATAAAGTCTATTTACTTCAGTATTCTAAAGTCTCTGCTTTAAAATATAATTCCGGTCTTCCGTCTTCATTTTTTCACTTGTGAGAAAAATGCTTCTGTGACACAGCATCAATAGTGCTTTCATAGTGTAATGAAAAAGGACTACATGAGGAAAATTAACTATTCATTGTACGCGAAATCGCACATTGCCTTTGTTAAATATGGAAATCATACATTATACATCATTTGCACATCTTCCTTCAGTTGTCCTTTACATACATTTCTCGCTTCGAAAAACAATCAACTGATTCAAATTATTATCACTACAATTATTGTCATTATTAATACTATTATTATTATTACTATTATTGTCATTATTATTATTATAATTATTATTATTATTATTAGTATTATTATTATTATCATTATTTTCCACATTATTCACCCTCTTTTATACTTATACAGCGGCTCGTCTTTGGTGGAAATTCGACTGTATCTAAACGTTCTCGTGTCACTGTCCCGTTGAAAATTGTATGTTACCACCGAATATGAGTACTGAAGCAGTTTTTCTGAAACCACGTGCACCATTCAAACTGGCTGCCTTCAACGTTCGCACACTTATGCAGGTCGGACAACAGATAGGGCTGGCTATGTCTTTGGAAAGTCTTCATATCGATGTCTGCTGTCTATCCGAGACCCGTATTCAAGACTCTGGCGAAGTACTACAAATTCGCTCTACATCTGTCACTTCGAAAAGCTTGTTTTATGTGTGTTTATCCGGGGACCCCGTAGCATCTTCGTCTGGTGTTGCTGGTGTTGATGTCGCACTAAGCGCTAGAACTGAGGCAGCACTAATCGATCGGATCCCCATTAACAGTCGATTATGTGCTATTAGATTAGAGAGTTCCATCAAAGTGAGAAGAAATCGGCGTGAGAAACGATGTCTTTTCGTCATCTCCGCCTATGTCCCGACAGATTGCAGCACGGATGCAATCAACGATGAGTTTTACCACCAATTATCTGTTCTTCTCCAGAAAGTGCGTTCGACAGATATTGTAGTACTAGCCGGAGACTTGAATGCTCAGGTCGGGCGTCTAGGCACAGAAGAGAGTCGTTTAGGTGGCCGATGGGGACTCGTTGGTCGCAGGTCAGATAACGGGGACCGTCTACTGCAACTTTGCACAGAGCACAACCTGTTTCTGGCTAGCACTAACTTTCGGCACAGTCATCGCCGATGTGACACCTGGCGTCCTCCCTCTGCATCTCAAGCCTGGACTCAGATTGATCACATCGCGATCAGCTACCGCTGGCGTGGTTGTGTACAAGACTGCCGCTCCTTTTGGAGTACCTATCTGGACTCTGACCATGCCTTGGTCTGCGCCAATCTTGCCTTACTTTTCAGTGGACAACGAAGTGACCGCCATCAACGGATTGATATTAGCAAGCTGGTTGCAACTTCTGTTGCAAGTAAGTATCGAACCGAGCTAGCCTCTAGGCTAGCTACCACTCCACCGAAAAGTATAGATGAGCATTGGTTGCAATTGCATGACGCCATGAAAATGGCGGGTACAGTCAGTTGTGGGTTCGCAAAACGTCCCGCTTATAAACACTGGGTTTCTTCAGGCTCCTTACAACTCATTGAAGCCCGTCGGTCTACTCCGGGTGACCGTGAGTTTGACCATAAACGAAGGATGTTACGTAAGGAAATTGGGCAAAGCTTGCGTAAGGACCGAGAAGCCTGGTGATCGGAGCGTGCTTATGAGCTGGAAGCAGCAGCTGCATCTGGTAACTACCGGAAGCTCTCCCAACTCATCCGAGCCACTGGCAACAAGAAGTCTGGTGTGAGTGAAACAATCTGCAAGGGTGATGGGATGCCAATCACTAACATCCATCGATGTCTTGGACGATGGGCAGAATTTTTCGAAGGGCAGTTCAACTGGCCTGCTGCTCCGGCGACATCGGTCAGACTGTCCTGCCCTCCATGGCCGGTGACGACTGATCCACCAAACGAGGAGGAAGTCCGCAAGGAACTCCAACTCTTGAAGCGTTACAAATCACCTGGCCCAGATGACTTACCTCCGGCTCTTTTTAAAGATGGTAATGACTTTCTGACTGAGGAACTGACTGTGTTGTTTACAAAGGTCTGGGAACTAGAGAGTGTACCAACGTCATGGAATGAGTCGATAGTTGTCCCTATCTTTAAAAAGGGTTCACGTCGTTCCTGTAACAACTATCGGGGGATAAGTCTACTTCTGATTGCGTCCAAGCTATTGGCTTCCGTCATACTTCGTAGGTTGTTCAAAACCCGAGAAAGATTGACTCGTGAGGAGCAGGCTGGATTTCGTTCTGGTCGAGGATGTATTGATCATATCTTCACCCTCCGCCAAATGTTAGAACACCGCCATACTTATCAAAGGCCAACAATCGTCTATTGAAGAAGGGTGTGCCTGAGAAGTTTATTAACATCCTAAAAGCCCTGTATAAAAACACCTCAGGCAGAGTGAGGGCATACAACAACCTCTCTCCATTGTTCCATTGAAGCAGTGGGGTTAGACAGGGTTGCCCAATCTCACCATTCCTCTTCAACTTTGCCATCGTTGACATTCTGGAAACAGCTCTGATGAATGTAAGTAATGGTGGTGTGGATCTGTTGCCTGGAGAAAGACTTCTCGACCTTGAGTATGCGGACGATATTGTCTTACTGTGCGATAATGCCCAAGGCATGCAATCCGCACTTAATCAGTTGGCAATCAGTGTCCGTAGGTATGGTATGTGCTTTGCACCTTCGAAGTGCAAAGTACTTCTACAAGACTGGCAGGATTCTAATCCTGTACTCACCCTGGATGGTGAGCAGATGGAAGTAGTCGAGAAGTTTGTGTATCTGGGTAGCTGCATAAGTGCTAGTGGGGGTGTGAGTGATGAGATCAATGCACGTATAGTGAAAGCCAGAGCGGCTTATGTCAATCTGGGCCATCTTTGGCGCCTTCGTGATGTTAGTCTGGCTGTAAAAGTTCGGATCTACAACGCGTGGGTGAGAGCAGTTTTGCTCTATGCTTGTGAAACCTGGTCTCTCCGAGTTGAGGAAGTTAGACGACTCTGTGTTTGATCATCATTGTCTCCGAAGGATAGCTGACATCCAGTGGCAACACCATGTCAGTAATGCAGAGGTTCGGCATCGTGTGTTCGGGCACAGAGATGATAATGCCATTGGTGTCACCATCTTGAAACATCGACTTCGGTGGCTTGGACATGTTCTACGAATGTCGTCCCAGAGGATTCCACGTCGTGCATTATTTGCCGACTCTGGGACTGGTTGGAAGAAGCGGAGAGATGGTCAGTGCATGACATGGTGTCGTGGGATGAAAGAAAGCTGCAAAGGACTGGCTTGTGTTGGTCCTTCACGACTCCCTGGTTGGGGTCTGAGAGATGGTGCTACACAGTGGCTAGAGACGTTATCAGATATGGCTCAGAATAGAAGCCAGTGGTGATCCTGCTGTAACCTTCTTTTACTTTCTTCATAAAAAGTGATTGTGTCTCCCTTACCTGTAAGATTTCTTCCGACTGTAACTTTGCGTTCCCTCATTTCTATCATACTACCTTACACCAATCTCCTCGTTATTGTTCTCTTTTTTTGCGCTCCTTCGCTTTTTTTCCTATTTCTCTTCGAATTCTCATTGTTTTGTGTGGCGCATATATATTGGCGCTCTCTTGTACCAATATTCATGTGTTCAAATAAATAAATAAATAATAATCCAGTTATTATTCCGATTTCTCTCCATTTTCCTTCCTGTTCTCTGTTCTTCCGCTGTTCAACATTTCACTTCCTATTACTGCTACATACTAATATCTATCCAAACAAGAAGCACATCACAATAGTACGGGCTCTGCTTTGTGTCTTCTTTTACATTCGAGAAAATCTCAAAATCCAAAACGAGTTTTATTGAAAGTTTCGTAATATAGTTAGACTGTAACTACCAGTGAAGTTCAGAGTGCGGGTTTTGTCCTCTTTGGTACTCGTCAGTTAGATGTCCTGCATTGAATCTCGAATCTAGTACCTTTCACTTAAAAAGCTAATATATTCACCGGTCTGATGAGTCTAAATGAACACTAATTAGTTTACCGGGTACGATGTTTGTGCCATTATTAAAAATGGCTTGAGTTATTTCGTAGTTGATATTCAGGACTGAAATCTAATCAATCTGTTTTGGTCTTACTTTCTCAGGAACATCATATTTCGAAGATGAGTATACATTACACTAACTGTAGACTTGTAATGCCATTTATACACTTTATATGTTGTCATTTTTATTTCAAATTTATATAGGGTGTCACAGATGAAGCTATGGTTCATCTTTCCATTGGTTGTCCTGATCTACGTGTACTAGCTATATCACATTGTTCAATAACTGATCAAGGTCTTCGTGCAATTGCTGGCACATTATCGCCAGCTGCAGCAGCAGCTATCGTTGGACAAGCTACATCTACCAGTCAGCAAAATGGGATCCCTTTAATTCTTCCGGTAGCAACAAGCAATGGAAGCGTTAATAATCAAGATGCTTCATCACCAAACGGTAATGTTAATAATCATGGAGATCGAGATAATAATCGACGCCAAAAAACTAATGATTCTAATAAGATAACATTGATTCCAGTTGGATGTGTTAGCTTAACAACTTTAGAAGTGGCTCGTTGTTCAGCTATCACAGATATTGGTCTATCGGCAATCGCACGTGTTTGCAATAAAGTAAGTTGTCTTTGATGTATAACTTATAACTGTTAATCAGTCATAATTGTTATGTTTTTATGTCGGGCTAGTTATCAAGTGATTTATCCACCAACCGAAATACGGCTTATACAATCTTAGCACTGTGCCAAACCAATGACTTTCGACCGGTATGAGCAGCCTAGCGTTCTTATTGGTCCTATGTCCGACTAGCCCGTCCACTTGAGTCCAGAACACCAATACCAGCTTCCACTATGCGAATCGAATCGAATTGAATCACTTATTTCAGATATACTGGGTTTATATATCAACTAAGCAAACCACAACGCACTATAAAATAGGAAATAACATTTATGGACAATAAAGCCAAAAAAGTGACTGTGAACGTGGGAAGCAGTAGTCAATAAACTGAACATAGCTTACGAACAGTAAATTGTATAATAATAAATTATAGATCAAAATGAAGCTTATAATAAGAGGAATATAAATATACATAATCTAATTATTGAATAGTTATACCATCAGAATGTATAGATAATATTAGTCAATTAATATGTCTCAGAAGTTACTCGTGATTTAATCTTCGCTCGGATATGACAATAATCAGTATAGAGCCTGGCGTAAATGTGTAGCGTGCTGTCGAATCGCGATTGACTATGAACACCACTACAAGGAAGCGCGTGCCAGAGAAACCAGAAGACGAAGATGGAGCGTAACCAGATTTATTTCTTTGGCTATCTCGTGGTATCGAACGAATACCCGACCGTTGTTGCTACCCGTGGGGGTCGGGCTTGCCTATCGTGATGAAGCAACCGAGCTATACTGACTGGAACGACTGTTCCTCAAGGTCCTACCACGTTAGAAAGGTCGGTTGAAGAGCGGTAAGACTAAAAGCAACAAACCCAAGGTCCGAAGGCGAAGTCGTACTGCTGACTGTACAGAGGTGTGACAGCAGTAAGGTGTTTCCTTCAGACAACCAGCATGACAGCGATGCTGCCTTCCCACAAGTAGAGGTGGGGTTAGAAAAGGTCGACCCTAAAAATGCACACCTCGCCTTATCCCAAGGATATCCGTCTCCGGCGGTAAGGTCTCAACAATTACGGAGCTAACACAAAAATTGCCCATAAAAAGGTCGTGTGTGACCGACCTCAAGCAGTTGTCCCTTGGCCACTGCGGTCACGCTCCCAGGTCACTAAGACCACCTCTAATCCAATTTCCTTTTCAGGTGCCTCCAGAACAACCCTTCCACGGTGTGGGCATCCGAAAAGTGATAACTACTCTCATACCTCTAACAGCACTCAAGACCACTGTATTCCTAATCAACCTCCGTCTTCACCTTCTATTATTCCTCCTACATCGACTTTCACCTCTAAACTTCCTTTTTCGGCTTCCCCCTCAAATGTCACCATAGCCAACGATTCTAGTGCTCAAGACACTGTCCCGGGTCTACTGAAAGCTCGCTCCAAACTACACATTGGAGCCTTCAACGTACGCACCCTATGTCAAATAGGTCAACAGGCTTCCTTGGCTAGAACCCTAGAATCTCGTACCATTGATGTATGCTGTGTCTCCGAAACACGCATACAGGATCCCAGTGTGTTCATTCACTTGACCTCACCTCGGCAAAACGGAGAGCCAACAAGATACACCCTCCGTGTGTCTGGTGACTCGATGGCCAGCTCTCGTGGACTGGCAGGAGTAGGGATAGCACTAAGCATGAGGGCGGAACAAGCACTGTTAGAGTGGATTGCATTCGGAAGAAAAGTACAACTAATATTCATTGATTATTATGTCAGTGACTAGTGTTTTATTTAAAATAAAACAATCAACTTTTATCTCTCATATACTTATACGATAGAAATGGTAATAATGAATCTAATTATTAATATTAAAAAAAGAGATATATACTACAAAGTTTAACTATAATCAAATTTATAACCTATTTTTTGGTGTTATCTGTTTCACGCCACTTCTACCTTATTACATCCATTCACATATGATACGTTCAACACAATTTGTATTTAAAATGTGATTATTATTATTTGATTGTTTTTGTTTTGAAAAGAAGTAAAGATTCATGTGCTCAGCTTTGAACCGCATATTTTCTGCTTAAGGATTTAGTACTGTACTATTCTGTTGTCAAAATTGAAATAGGTACAGTGTGGTGGTTCATTTACAGTTCATTGATTAAAAGTGAATTAATTTATCTACCTTAACCTACAACTTTAACATTTGCGGGACAAAACATTAAATGTATCATTAAAAATACTAAAGAGAGCAAGAGCGAAGATTGGTGCAGCTTTTTCTCAGTGGGATCAGTTAAGTCCTTGTTACTTTTATCTAACTTGAATCTCATGTGGTCACTCAAAATGGACGTCATCTTAGAGACATAATCTATCGTGTTCATTAGAACAATACTTGAACCCTTATCTGACCGTAATATCATTATATGATCATTTCGCTTAATATTTCGTAATGCTGTTAGGTGATCTTTGGATAGAAGCTTAGACTGGGGTGTGGGTGAAACGAGATATTAGTTTGCGATATCAACTAGTTTAGATTTAAACCAGCCTTTCTTCTCTTCACTAACTGAGTGCGATTCTTTAATTTGATCAAATAAATTCTCAAATCGAGTTTCTTTGTCGATTCTGTCGACATGTATTTTTTGGATATGAAATTTAAATCCAAGCGACAAAGCTTCTGTTTCAATTTGATTTAGCTTCACTGTTGATAGATTATCGAGAACGTTCTTCGGGGTTTTCTTGAAAACCAAAGTATAAGTGTTCCTTTGACAGTGTCTTTGACAAATTTACATCGAAATTCTTGCATATTTTGCTTTACAGACCTTGGATAAAGTTGATAAATTTTATGCGACATACGATAATTAGATCGTTGACTAGTTCATCAGACATTAGTTTCTGCCCTCAAACTTTCAACCAATAATTTTGTTGATTCTATGTGAGATTTTGTGATTCACGGAAGATTTTTGTGAGAAGGCAGGAGTTTACATGAGTATCAGTCATTGAAGTCACTAACTTCTAATCTAAGCCATGTTGGTAGATGCAGACTACTTGTTTGGGGTCCGCGTGACTATCGTAACCAATGATTGGAGACTCCGGGTGATATGACTCAGAATCGATCACAATGGCGTCGGTATATGCACTCTCTTTCTTCCTTTAAACTGGGAGAATAAAATCGCTTCATATCCTTATATGCGATCTTTCTTTTATATATTACCACCATTGACTTAACCACTCCTATGAATCTGGTGTCCATCTTGCTGTGCTAATGAGGCATGGCAACTTGGACCGATGCAGATATGTGCCTGGTCCTACGTTGTAGCTGACTGACTGATTGAAAGATTTTAAGAGTTGACGTGGGAAACGGCATGATTCGAGACATTCATCAAGAAATTTAAGTCGAGTCATTCCTCTCGATGTTCTGCAGCATATTGTCACCAGGCGATTCAGTGACTTGAATGACTGTACAGAGAGACGCATTTTGAGAAATTTCATACACATAGTTCCCTTTATTATCCTAAAGAGAGCAAGAAAAAAGATTGGTGCAGTCTTCGTTCTTGTTCTTTTTAAGATAATGAATGGAACCATGTGTATGAAGAATACTAAATTTAATCTGAAATAAATTTGCTTATTTATTATTCATTAAACTATGGATATATTCGTTTAAAACAGGATTTTGTACAGTGGTATTGGTGTGTATGTAGATATTGTCAGTGTTTCACAATTCTCAGAATTAATAATCTTTTCAGTTAGTCTCAATCATTTGGGTCAAATTAGTCAATTTAAAGACTACGCATTATTCTATGGGAAATTTGAAGGTTTTGAGTTGAATCCTTAAAAATTTTATGGATTTGGACCTTCAAAAATAAGGGGTGTTAGATTCGAAGTAAATAATTGATGTATGGTACAAATGATTATATTAACATTTTTGTATTCCTGATCACTTCCATGTTGTGACAAAGTTTTGTGTTAATTTTCATTACTGGGATTTCCTGTGCTCGTGTTGGGGATGCTAGATCCCCAGAACTTACTTGGAAACGTCTTATTTTTAAATTTGAATTTCTTGTTTTTGCGCCAAAAGCGCCCATTTTTACATTCAGATTTTATTTTCCACTGAGAAGGACTCTAAATGTTATTATTTTGTGACGTTTCCCAAGGGCATTTTTATGCTGTATAATTACGCTTGAGTTGTGATTGTGGCTGCTTGTGGAATGCACTTTCCTTTATGTGAACCTGGATTTCTCCTTCCAGTTAGCGGGGCTGGGATGCATTTGAATAATTTAGCCGTCTTGTCATAGTGTTGCTGTGTCTTCGTTCCGTTCGTCGATTTAGGCGATCTCGTAATCTCTTCAAACATAGCAGCTCCGTTTAATGGAGTTTGTGTATGTTGTATACACTTACCTCCTCTACTTGTATTTTGGTTTGAAAGTTGTATTCCTAATTGACTCAAGTATTCAACTTCCAAACAATGAGTAGTCACGAGTTCTAACTATGATTCCATGAAGGTCTGTACAAAATCGAATAAATAGGTGATCCCTTCGTGATCATAAGGCTTCTGTTTTAACCGGGAAAGTTATTGTGTTCCCCAACTGCTTACATTAGTAAAACTACTATTTAGTTTTATCCGATAAAATTCGACAAGTTCTACGTTGTAGCTGACTGACTGATAAGTTCTCAGAACTATAATATAGTCTCGGTAGTTCCGGGCGGCGGATTCCTATATTTATCACTATACTTTAATATCTTCATACCATTGTCACATTATTTGATATATAATATTTTTAGTTACGAGTACTATTAATGCAAAAGTAATTATGTTAAGGAGATACAGCAATAATTTTTTCTGTTTTAAAATATTTAGTCAACTATAATTTCTTACTCACCATCGCTACTACTAATGGTTGTTTGTTGTTATCTTCTGTTTTGAACAGCTTGAAAAGTTAGATCTAGAAGACTGTGCGTTAGTGACTGATTCAACGTTAGCTCAATTAGCTGTACATTGTCCACGTTTAAATACACTAGTATTATCACATTGTGATCAAGTGACTGATGAAGGTATTGCACGTCTAGCTGAAGGTCTTTGTGGTCCTGACCAACTGCAAACATTAGCTATGGATAATTGTCCATTATTAACAGATGCTGCTTTAGAACATCTGGGCAGTAATTGCCGTAAACTTCGACAGTTAGATTTATACGATTGTCAATTGATAACAAAACAAGGAATCAACAGTTTAGAGGTAAGACAATTAACAGATGTTCAATCATGCTTCAGACTTCATGCTTTTTTATGTTTGAATAAATTTATTTGTGTACTTTTAATGAGAATTATATTATTTTCATAGTTTAAATCATATAATGATCCTACCACCATTGAAAACTGGGTGACATTAGACGGGCATTTAGTCCTAGTATGAGACTCCTTGGAAGTGCATATCTACGACTCCGTACCCCGGGATCAAACCCAGGACAGTACAGTTTTGCACCTGAACGCTTGGCCTCTAGATCAGTTTGTGATTTGAACTTTCTACAGTCTCCACAATTCCCCCTATACTAGTAATAGTGCATTCAACCAGTGAATAGCTCCAAGATTCGACTCCTGGAGTTCTGGTCAAAAGCTGCGACCAGTACAGTTCAACTGTGTCGAGTGTAAAACAGTCGTTCGCTTCCGAAAATGGCAGATAACTACGTGATATCATAAAAATTGATTAAAATTAGACATGTACACCATTGAATGACGACTCATTGGTCTATAAGTTGGGCGTTCGCGCCGGAGACTGAAAGTTTTGGGTTCGATCCCCTACGAGGTCGTGTATGGGAACCACTGAGGAGTCCCATACCAGGATGCATTGACTATCCAGTGCTTCCATTTTTCAGTGGTGGTCTAGTTCGTTATTTAAATTATAGAAAATTATACCATTTCTGTAAATCCCTCTATACGAATTACTTTTAATGGTAATTAAAATTAGATATTTTATAATGAATATCAGAGTGCATCGAAAAGTTTTTTCCGATATTTTTCGGTTTGTGATTAAGTCAGTTCTTCAGAAAATAACTAGGTTTTTCATATTATTACATATTTCAGTGTTACACAAAGAATTAATCAGATTAAATACTTAATTGAAATTAAAACAAGTCCGATCATACGCTACTCTTATGCTGTTATACAGGTCAAAGTTGATTCTGTATAGAACATGCTTTCATACGTTAATAGTTAGATTATTTATTTATTTATTTGAACACATATATATTGGTACACGAGTGCGCCGAATATATATGCGCCACACAAAACAATGAAAATTTAATAAGAAAAAAGTGAGGAACGTAAAAAAACTAATAAATAAAAAAAACAATGACAAAGAGATTGGTGTAAGGTAGTGTAATGATGATAATAATAGTAATAGTAGGAGAACAGAAGGGTACAATCAGAAGAAATCTTTCAGTTAAGGAAGATACAACCACTTTTTTATGAAGAAAGTAAAAGAAGGTTACAGCAGGATCACCACTGGCTTCTATTCTGAGCCATATCTGATAACGTCTCTAGCCACTGTGTAGCACCATCTCTCAGACCCCAACCAGGGAGTCGTGAAGGACCAACACAAGCCAGTCCTTTGCAGCTTTCTTTCATCCCACGACACCATGTCATGCACTGACCACCTCTCCGCTTCTTCCAACCAGTCCCAGAGTCGGCAAATAATGCACGACGTGGAATCCTCTGAGACGACATTCGTAGAACATGTCCAAGCCACCGAAGTCGATGTTTCAAGATGGTGACACCAATGGCATTATCATCTCTGTGCCCGAACACACGATGCCGAACCTCTGCATTACTGACATGGTGTTGCCACTGGATGTCAGCTATCCTTCGGAGACAATGATGATCAAACACAGAGTCGTCTAACTTCCTCAACTCGGAGAGACCAGGTTTCACAAGCATAGAGCAAAACTGCTCTCACCCACGCGTTGTAGATCCGAACTTTTACAGCCAGACTAACATCACGAAGGCGCCAAAGATGGCCCAGATTGACATAAGCCGCTCTGGCTTTCACTATACGTGCATTGATCTCATCACTCACACCCCCACTAGCACTTATGCAGCTACCCAGATACACAAACTTCTCGACTACTTCCATCTGCTCACCATCCAGGGTGAGTACAGGATTAGAATCCTGCCAGTCTTGTAGAAGTACTTTGCACTTCGAAGGTGCAAAGCACATACCATACCTACGGACACTGATTGCCAACTGATTAAGTGCGGATTGCATGCCTTGGGCATTATCGCACAGTAAGACAATATCGTCCGCATACTCAAGGTCGAGAAGTCTTTCTCCAGGCAACAGATCCACACCACCATTACTTACATTCATCAGAGCTGTTTCCAGAATGTCAACGATGGCAAAGTTGAAGAGGAATGGTGAGATTGGGCAACCCTGTCTAACCCCACTGCTTCAATGGAACAATGGAGAGAGGTTGTTGTATGCCCTCACTCTGCCTGAGGTGTTTTTATACAGGGCTTTTAGGATGTTAATAAACTTCTCAGGCACACCCTTCTTCAATAGACGATTGTTGGCCTTTGATAAGTATGGCGGTGTTCTAACATTTGGCGGAGGGTGAAGATATGATCAATACATCCTCGACCAGAACGAAATCCAGCCTGCTCCTCACGAGTCAATCTTTCTCGGGTTTTGAACAACCTACGAAGTATGACGGAAGCCAATAGCTTGGACGCAATCAGAAGTAGACTTATCCCCCGATAGTTGTTACAGGAACGACGTGAACCCTTTTTAAAGATAGGGACAACTATCGACTCATTCCATGACGTTGGTACACTCTCTAGTTCCCAGACCTTTGTAAACAACACAGTCAGTTCCTCAGTCAGAAAGTCATTACCATCTTTAAAAAGAGCCGGAGGTAAGTCATCTGGGCCAGGTGATTTGTAACGCTTCAAGAGTTGGAGTTCCTTGCGGACTTCCTCCTCGTTTGGTGGATCAGTCGTCACCGGCCATGGAGGGCAGGACAGTCTGACCGATGTCGCCGGAGCAGCAGGCCAGTTGAACTGCCCTTCGAAAAATTCTGCCCATCGTCCAAGACATCGATGGATGTTAGTGATTGGCATCCCATCACCCTTGCAGATTGTTTCACTCACACCAGACTTCTTGTTGCCAGTGGCTCGGATGAGTTGGGAGAGCTTCCGGTAGTTACCAGATGCAGCTGCTGCTTCCAGCTCATAAGCACGCTCCGATCACCAGGCTTCTCGGTCCTTACGCAAGCTTTGCCCAATTTCCTTACGTAACATCCTTCGTTTATGGTCAAACTCACGGTCACCCGGAGTAGACCGACGGGCTTCAATGAGTTGTAAGGAGCCTGAAGAAACCCAGTGTTTATAAGCGGGACGTTTTGCGAACCCACAACTGACTGTACCCGCCATTTTCATGGCGTCATGCAATTGCAACCAATGCTCATCTATACTTTTCGGTGGAGTGGTAGCTAGCCTAGAGGCTAGCTCGGTTCGATACTTACTTGCAACAGAAGTTGCAACCAGCTTGCTAATATCAATCCGTTGATGGCGGTCACTTCGTTGTCCACTGAAAAGTAAGGCAAGATTGGCGCAGACCAAGGCATGGTCAGAGTCCAGATAGGTACTCCAAAAGGAGCGGCAGTCTTGTACACAACCACGCCAGCGGTAGCTGATCGCGATGTGATCAATCTGAGTCCAGGCTTGAGATGCAGAGGGAGGACGCCAGGTGTCACATCGGCGATGACTATGCCGAAAGTTAGTGCTAGCCAGAAACAGGTTGTGCTCTGTGCAAAGTTGCAGTAGACGGTCCCCGTTATCTGACCTGCGACCAACGAGTCCCCATCGGCCACCTAAACGACTCTCTTCTGTGCCTAGACGCCCGACCTGAGCATTCAAGTCTCCGGCTAGTACTACAATATCTGTCGAACGCACTTTCTGGAGAAGAACAGATAACTGGTGGTAAAACTCATCGTTGATTGCATCCGTGCTGCAATCTGTCGGGACATAGGCGGAGATGACGAAAAGACATCGTTTCTCACGCCGATTTCTTCTCACTTTGATGGAACTCTCTAATCTAATAGCACATAATCGACTGTTAATGGGGATCCGATCGATTAGTGCTGCCTCAGTTTTAGCGCTTAGTGCGACATCAACACCAGCAACACCAGACGAAGATGCTACGGGGTCCCCGGATAAACACACATAAAACAAGCTTTTCGAAGTGACAGATGTAGAGCGAATTTGTAGTACTTCGCCAGAGTCTTGAATACGGGTCTCGGATAGACAGCAGACATCGATATGAAGACTTTCCAAAGACATAGCCAGCCCTATCTGTTGTCCGACCTGCATAAGTGTGCGAACGTTGAAGGCAGCCAGTTTGAATGGTGCACGTGGTTTCAGAAAAACTGCTTCAGTACTCATATTCGGTGGTAACATACAATTTTCAACGGGACAGTGACACGAGAACGTTTAGATACAGTCGAATTTCCACCAAAGACGAGCCGCTGTATAAGTATAAAAGAGGGTGAATAATGTGGAAAATAATGATAATAATAATAATACTAATAATAATAATAATAATTATAATAATAATAATAATGACAATAATAGTAATAATAATAATAGTATTAATAATGACAATAATTGTAGTGATAATAATTTGAATCAGTTGATTGTTTTTCGAAGCGAGAAATGTATGTAAAGGACAACTGAAGGAAGATGTGCAAATGATGTATAATGTATGATTTCCATATTTAACAAAGGCAATGTGCGATTTCGCGTACAATGAATAGTTAATTTTCCTCATGTAGTCCTTTTTCATTACACTATGAAAGCACTATTGATGCTGTGTCACAGAAGCATTTTTCTCACAAGTGAAAAAATGAAGACGGAAGACCGGAATTATATTTTAAAGCAGAGACTTTAGAATACTGAAGTAAATAGACTTTATACCAATTTTCATAAGTAACTGACTGTTGTTCCTTTCCATTTAAATATAAAATGTTGCTTCAGGACTGGTTCACATCAGCCTCAGAACTAGTAATAGGCAGTGAAGAGTTTATTGTGTTGACCACGTCACATATCAAAGAAGTATCATCATCTCTGGTGGGTTAATTGGCTTTGCCAACTTGCGTTAATCGTGCAGTAGATGAGATATCCATCTGCTAACTAAAGGACGATTATATTGAGCACCAGTTCGCCCCTTTCTACTTTAAGTGATATGGCTCAGAATCATTCGTAATGACACAGGTGCACTAACCTTTTGTTCTGCCTTAGATCCTAAATTTCGAGATTCCCCACAATTATTGTTTTCTTATTTTTATTACATCGATCCTTCTTTTTATTGAATCGTATCTTCAGTGTCTAGGCTTTTCTACCATCACTAGTACTGTTACTATTTCCTCAACAATTCTATCTCACTATGACAATAGTGTACGGGAACTTAAATCGATACACACATGCACCACGTTCTACGTTGCGTGTGACTGACTGTTATAAAGCATTTTTAATGTAACTAATACCAATGAAATAATCGATTTAAATGCTCTGAAGAATCCTAAAATACCACTTTTACTTTGGTCAGTACAATAATATGAATATTAAAGCAAAGAAAAAATATCGTGGCAATAATCAAGCACAGCGAATCATAACAAAGATAGAATCTTTCGAAACTTTCCTACTTTTAACACATGACACAGTGTTCAGTACAAAGACGGGAAAACAAGATATAACATTCTTGCTTCAGTTCCGGTTAAAGCGCCGGACATTCGCTTTTCGTCCTCTCATTTTCGTAAACAACACCCCCGACACGAGAAGGCAGTGAGTAGGACTTTCCTAGATAGATAGGTGTGATATAGGTGGTGTCTTATCTGAAACAGGTCAAATGTGGATCTGGATACATTATCCAATTTGAATAAATTGTCGATTGAATCCTTTTTCCTATTGCTCAGAGCAGTATTTAACAACATATGACAATGATATTTTAGTTGGAAAAGGTTTTTTTTTAAAGAAATTATAGAAAACATTTTAATACTGACTAAATGACTGTCGACTATGTGTCATGCATTGATCTTGGTGATTTGACTTTTACATTTCCAAGTTCTACAGGAATAACAAGTCCTTTTTGTATTTCATGTATTCTCTCCGGCACGAACTATGATATCCCGAAATGTACTCTACCATAAAATCTATCAAATATTTGATAAACAACCTAATCTATAAACTTCTAAGTTGATATGGTATTTTGTCTTTTATTCGGACCAAGATATCTCGATATGTATTGGTTACCTTTTGGAAGGCTTGCTTTAATTTCTGTGCTGAACATTTGGCAGTATAGTTAATTACGATCAACATCCATATTTCCAATGATTCATGGAATCATTGCATTTTAGAACACTTTTTGACAGTATTAATTTAGAAAAGATTATTATTATTATTATTATTATTATTATTATTATTATTATTATTATTATTATTATTATTATTATTATTATTATTATTATTATTATTATTATTATTATTATTATTATTATTATTATTATTATTATTATTATTATTATTATTATTATTATTAATTGATCATTAGAATGTATAAACCAAAGTTTTTTGTTAAGTATATTTCAACATTTAATTCCATTAATTTTGAAGTAAAATTCTTCACTCTAATGAATATTTAAATAAATACGGATGTTTTAACTGAAGGTAATGTCAAATTTCATCTGTTCCTGTGCAACAGATTCAATGGTGTTTTAATAAAATACTCAGCATATGATACTAGATATTGAGTTGACTTGAACAAAACTTTCCACATCTGGGCTATAATTTATGCACGAAATTCATTTATCCATACGGATTAATAGCATTTTGACAATGATAGTTAATATAAGTTCATGATAAAAACTCTGACTGTAATTCCCAACCCTGACTCTTAACTTTGTCTCTTCATCTTAAATTCTTACACTAATGTATAGCTATATTTTGACCCCAGTAAGTGGTTAAATTTATTCAAGTTCACTTTAGTGTCGTTCAAAGGTCGTCCATAAAGTATAATCGCGCCAGCTTTTCAAGTGATTTATTGTATGCCATTCAGTTTCTTGAGTAAGTTATAAATGAAGCTAACGGAATTTATCTTATTAAATCTTTATGTGTCCAGGAGAAATTTACTTATCTTGAAAGATTTTAAAATATCAGCATTATGTACGTTGTCAAGCATATGACTAGCGGTTGTATTACTTAAATATGCCTGTTGCCCCTCATCGATCAGCATATACAGCTAACTACCATTCTCAATCCAACTCTATCTTGAACAAGGCGAGGATTTGTGTGTATTTGACTATCACAATTAAGATTTCATTCGATACAGAGAGATCAACCCAGTAAATGGATGTCTCCTTTTTTATATGTCTTTTAATCTAAAACCAATCTCTTCAATTGCTTCACGTTTGAGTTTAAGTCTTACGATAGGCTTTTTCTCCACCATAACGTACTACATTTCCTTCATTCTAGGTTTTCCAAACTTTGTTATTTATGGACTTTTGCGGATAACCGTTCAACAACAGTCATACACTTCACTTTTATTTTCTGACTATAATGTTCGACAGTTGAATAGCGTTCTAACTAAAGCTTTTTGTGATTTATTAAACAGAAGTTATTGAAGTTCAAGTATGGATCTTTTCATATGTCCTTTTGATAAATATATGTTTCTAACCAGCCATTTTATTGCACCTAATGATAGGATCTAGAAAATGTAATACATTATCATGTTTATATTTCAGCATATATATAATGTAGGGGTGTGCTTTTTTAAAAAGATAGTCACTTCATAAATTTGACTATCACTAATATTCGTTTCACTTATTTTTACTTAACATTTTGATAAAAACTTTCGGATTCTTTACTAGCTAACAGTATAACCTAGTCTAATGATAATGGTTCAATACTTAAGGCATCCGATTTTCAGCCACGTTTGGCTTGAAAAACTATATGTTATTACAAACGTCATACATAAAGTGTAGCTCGAAGCCAACTACATCAATGTGTACCTAACAAATGAATTGATTACCGTTGTATAACACATTTCATGTCATTTTTGTTGTGATTGTTCTACTTAGAATACGATGTTTTCCTAGAATATATTTCTTCCTTGTTTTAACGACCAAATATTCTAAATGTTGTGTGATAATTGTTGTTTTCAATTTGCACACAAAAACTGATTGTATGAGAAGTAGTGCAATCGTTCTTAATTTCAAAAGTATTCATAAGCCCGTACTATATCTTAAATATATAAATATAACAAGTTCTTAATTGATAGTATTAAGCAAATTAATGTAAATTACTGAGTGTCTACTTTAAAATATTGTAGGAAAAAACCAGTGAATTTTTAGTCATAACAGTAATTGCTTTGCTAAGAGCATTATTATCTTGATTTAAATGTCAACAAACCACGAATAAAAATTGGGGAAAAAACAAGATAATTTCTATTTTTCCTCCTCATAGACTTGTTTCGAAACTGTTTACAACCTTAAAAAAACATGTTTGTATTAATTATCACTAATAACAATATATGGATTGTTTGTTTTATCCAATTTACAATCTTCATTAAATTTAATATTGACCTAGAGGTGGATTTTTCATATAAAAAATCAATATTAACCTACTCGTGGCGGGGGTGTTGTTTACGAAAATGATTAATTTCGCGAAGTAATTTTAATGTAAAATCGTAACCAGTGTAATTCAACCATATCGACCCTAGACTAAGTAACAGTGATATAAATGAATGATGGTTGCGCAACATCGTAAATTGACTGTTGTTAAGAAATATAAATCATTGGATATTGACTCAATGGTTTGAAGGTTAAACACCTGGTACAAGATATAAAGATCGTAGATACCCAGTGACAAGGAGTCTCATACAACTATAAAACAACTTTCCAGTAGTCGCTAATTCTCACTAGTTTTCCATCTAAAGTCATTCTATTCTATAAACTACACAAGTTGTAATGATTATAGACATCGCTAGGATTATTGATTATTTCTAGATGAGACATATAAAAACACAAGCCCTAAAAAATATAAAACTGATGTCGTAAGATACGTGATACCAATTACAAAATATATTGATTCAAAAGGTAAATATCAAATCAAGACTGGACAAAAAACACACGAAGAACTCAGTTTTAATTGACAGCTTGAAATGTGATATCTCGCAACTAACTATTAAAACCTAAGGTCATCATGGCAATACAATGTTGACCATATTATATATAGTTTTGAATACATGAATTTGATTGAAATTTTTTTACTCGTGATCTCTTCAACAAACTTGAAGTTGTTTACTTAATGATTATTTTGAAATGTCAATAATCCAGCAGAAAATGACAAGTGATTGAACTGTTTGAAAGCATTTCGTTTAGATTCTGTATTTCATTGAGACATATTTAGAAATGTCGACAGATATAAGTAGTATATAACACTAATCAGAAGTGGAATGCCTGGCAGCGGAACGTTGAGATGATCCAATTAAAGAGAACAGGAATGTAAAAAGAGTAATCGTAATAGCATCATGAATGAAGGATCGATAAAGTTTGTAAGTGACGATTGATGGAAGATGTGCTAATGACGTACTTAATGAACGATTTTCGCCTTTGATGAAGACTTTCTGTAATTTTATATTAACTAATAAATCGGTTAGTAAAATTACTCCAACCAAATTATATTTTTCCACTAGTTTAGATGACTCAACATCCCTTGCACAACTTTTTGATGTGAGTTGTTTAGAGGCACACATCATAAAGCCCCGTAAACATAGGTGATGTCAAATCACTTAGGAGAGTGTCCATATTGTAACTTGATTCGTGTTAATGGAAAAGTAGTACGGACTAGATAAACATGGAATTATTTCTGTTGAAGTTTCTCTCAGTCCTAAAAGTTAGTCGCGACTGGAATAATTCAGTTGTAGTGTTTCTGAATATAATTGTTGGATCAAATCACAGCTTGGTATCAAATATCAGTTGACAAAAAACCTGAATTCAGGTCTTTCTGCCGACTGCCTTTATCACTTTGTAGTGAACGGGAACACAATTGGGGACAATGGAATAGCTTTCTAACTAAAATCCGTCGATAATCTTTTGGAACAATGCTAACATATTTGGGATGTGTTTCTCTTTTAAATGCAAAATATTGTTTCAGGGATTATTCTGGGTTAATACCTGAATAAGTGATAGCTAGTAAAGTGGTTAATTAATTAATGACTTTATTCAATATTATATTTTGGTACAATATAGAATTCTCAGCACGAGGTATTTCAACAAGTTTCTTTTACGAAAAAAACAAAAAAGAGGAAAAAGTTAAAAAAAGTCTGAAACTGTACAACTTTTCAAATTAGAGACATGTTTATGAATACAGGTTGTTGACTAGGTTGACTCTTACAACCTGTTCGTCACAGAGTATATTTGCTAGGTAAGGTATTATAGAACTTTTATACTTATGCTTGCGTGCATGGATTTTAATGTAATTACGTAGTTGAGTGCATTGACCATTACAATTTTTTTGAAAGTCTAATCAAATCTGGTGGATTGGTTGTTTTCTGGTGAAATATCAATACGGATTCAGAAAGTGCATTTCCCTTCTACGAATTTACATTGCTTGTGACGTAGATGAAGTGTCCTTCTGACCATCCAAAATGTATTTACCGTGCATCAGTACTCTTTTGATTACTTTATGGCTTTGATATATAGCCATTTTAAACAGAAAACATATTTAGGTTGTAGGTTTTTGATCATTTTCAGTTCCACTACATTGGTTCTGTCTGTTTTGTTATTTTTCTTAATAATTCCACCTCGTCTAAGTAATGATGGTATGGTGATTTGAACCAACACACATTTGTGCCTAGGTCTATTTCAATGATGATTGATTTAGTCCATGACTTAAGCCAGTAAATGCAAGTATAATTTACTGTATTGGTTCTTTAATTGGTCAGCGATAAGTTGCGAATACATTTGCGCACAATTTCAATCGTAATAATGAAGTGATTTTTATCTTTAATCAACTAATTATTTATATTTTTTTATTCCTAATTTTATAGTTACATTATCCTCAACTTCAAATTCATGCCTATTTCGCTCCTGGTACTCCGCCTGCATTGACTTTTGCAAGACGACGTCGTTATTGTCGGTGTTGTCGCATAATATAATTTTTTTTTATGTTAATTTGTCTATTTACCCATTCACACCTCTCTCGTTCTCGTGACCAAGTTGCCAATTTGGTTGTATTGTCTTCTAGTTTAATTCTCCTCCAATTTTATTTCGCTCAGGTTACCTAGCCATTGACAGTAATGGATAGTAGCCTGAGTAAATAAATACCCAGAAATTTTATAGTGTGTTATAATATTTCCCTTGTGACGTTTAATCGTTGCTTTTTTATGTAAGATCAGTACAACTTACAAGTCATATATATATATATTTATGCATGTGTACAGTGCTATGTGGAAAGTTATAGTTATACGAAAAAAATCAGTCTTTCTATCTCTTTAATCCCTGTTTTCATGAAGCACTATTGTTAAGACAATGATGATGATTACTATATTGTCTAATTGTCATTTTCAGTTGTAACCTTACGATTATGCATCTGTCTACCGTCCCATCCTACTTTACACAGTCATCGTTCAGTCATATGTTTATATTAAAAAATCCCGGTCATCGACCTCTGTGTTTATCTTATCTCATTGTAAGTTTTAATTTTTGAACTCATTTAATTTCTTTCCTGGTTTTTATTTACTTGCTCCTTAAATATGACTTTCATTACACACACATCAAAATGCACAAAATTCCTTACAGATAAAAATAAAGATGAAATTGTACTGTTTGAATACACAGCCTTTAAAGTCGTCAACGATAATTAACAACGATTCTTTTTAAAACAAAAAAACACACGCAAGTGGGTCCGAATCTTTTCACTTTGAATTAGGCTACTAAAAACACAATCAATAACACCACTTTGAATTTTTCTACATCTTTTACACTATTCACAGAATGCAGTTTTCTAAAACTTTCTGTTCATAATTATCCCAGTTAATTCAAATTTGCTTTGTCCAGTTGTTTGCCGAATCAGATAAACAATTTATATCTATCTATCTATTTCTGTCTGTCCGCCAGAAATGTTGTTGTCTTTGTCAACGAATGTCTCAGACTTATTTTTCTTTTATCTCTGTGTTATCATAATAATGCTGCCACCTTGTTTTGTATAATGTTTATTGTCTAGTTTGTCTGTTTGTATGCGCTTGTGCTTGTATGTATATATGTGTGTGTGTGAATAATTATTGGTCGAATGTTCTAAATTCAGTTCTGTGTGTATGTATATGCGTACGTGCTCGCGTGAGTGTGTATTTTTTGTTGTTGTTGAGTATTTCCTCTTCTTTTTCTACATTTTCAGACGTGTTATGTGGTGAGTTTTTGTTTATTTGTATTTTGTTTTTGGTTATTATGCACTTGAATGACGGTTAGAAAACAATAATAATAATAAATACATTAATTATTGATTGCTGACCATCAATCATGGATAAATCAACACGAGAAATCAGAGGATTAAATGTTGTTTGCTCTAGTGCATCCACAGTAATATCTGTTAATCTGTCTTCATGTCTTATATACATATAGGTTGGATTCCAAATTACTCATTATGATCTTGTACATTAAAAAAATTACCTTTCTTAATACCACTTTTATTATTTTAAATATGCTTCTCTTTTAAAAATAAATATAAAGATAACAAATTTATTTCTCTCGAAATATTTTGCATAATTATTTTGTTTTTACTAAATGTTGCCTAACAATAAGCATAATTGATTTATGTTGGTCTTTACTAGGTGATTCACTCGAATGAAATGAGGAAGTTAGTTTGATGAGTGAATTATATGTGCAACTCTATCATATAAGCTGAACTGGTTTAAACACACTGAATTAATCAGTCATATTATTTTATCCTTTATGTGAAGGATTATAAGTGAATGATTTTAGTTTATTGTGCAAAGATTTGCTTCACATATTGTCTTTCAATTTTTATGTGTACTATCACAAATCTGTCTTATAGGTCAGCTATACTTTGTAAATTGAGGAAGTGTTTTCTCAAGAATATCGATAATTTGTTTTTACAATATGAAAATGACTACTGTCAAGTTTTTCTTCACAGTCTTCAACTAAGATATTAACAGTCCAGAATAGTTCCCAAAGTTTCACTTATTCTCTTATATCTAACAATTTACCAATAAAAATTCCTTTATTCAGTTATGTGAAAAGTATTCGTCATTACGATATGATATCTGCTATGCAAAAATTGACCACAAATCCATGTGCGGTTAAATCAATGACCACTCTGAATACGATGCATTTTGATAAGTGAATCATTATTTCAGTCGTATTTTTTGTGATCCAGCTCGACCCCTATATATCGTCAATAAACTACCGTCTCATTCTTAATTTGATCGACTTTACAGGCGTATATTAGTTTTTATGGTATCATGCTCTGCACGCTGTCTGTATCTCCTCGGTTTTATTCCATATCTATAATCAACAAGTCTATACCTAGTGATAATTTTTCAAACTAATAACAGTCATCCTTTCTGAAAATTAGCACAGAATGTACACCAGTCTACAGGCATTACCGACTTGATACAAAATTGGCAGTTACTGATTCAAGTTCATTCTTTCTGAAAGAGTTTATGATCTATATTTAGACGGAAATCATAAACGTAAATGAAATGATTTGAAAATAAAATACTAATGATTGTTCAAAATCCATTGTAAAAATAGATTCACTTAGTATAAAGTTGTCAATGGTGGACAAACTGACGGCATATGTTGAAGTATCATATAGGTGACATGTGTAATTCATTAAATGAGCTTTGCTATCGGAAAGGCTTCGTAGTTTCCATAAAAGGTGCATGAAACTATCAAAATACGAGGACAAAATGTCTTTCATTGTGTTCAGTTTGTAATAGATCTCCGGCTCAAGACGATTTGCAATGAAAACATTTTTAAGTAGTGCATGGTCTCCACACATACTGACATATATACTACGTGTATGTGCACAACTTTTTGGTCTAATATTTTCGCTCAGCATATCTATATTTAATCGCCTTTTTCATACTCTCTTGTGTAAGCCATGTGAATTCTCTTATTAAATAGTAACTGAATTCCTACTGATGTTTAGGCATTTCACATGATTTGATAATAAATAATGATTATTATTGCAATTTTGTTGTCTTTATTTAGCGGAATATGTTCATTTTTATTGTTGTCTAATTGATTCCTTTTTACTTGATTAGTTCTGTCTTGTAGTGTTCACATTATTCCATGTGATATGAATTAAACAAAAGTATGAAATGGGAAAAGTTACGTTTTATTCAAAGATATATATATATATAATCTCCACCAAGCTTTATAGTAATGTAGATCATAAGCCCACTACTGTCTAACCTCAAAAGATAGTTTTTAGAGTTTCTGTAGGAATTCACGGTCAATGGTGTTCGACCATATCAAATGTGAGGCAATTATTCACCTCAGGTAATGGATTATATTTTAACAGTATCTCATTGTTTGTATTTAGACCCATAGAGCATGAGATTCTGTCTCCGTGGTCTAATCTCCAAGCGCTGGCCGTGAGAATTTAAGGACTAGTACTCGCTCCTCGATGATGTAGCTGCCCACTTCCGTAGAATCTTATAGTAGGACGAAACAACTGGCTACTACTTTTGTGGTACTTGGGTTTTTTCTACGTCCCCTAATCGATTGTTAGATAAAGTTTGCCAATAAGAATCCAAGTTACAAGTCTTTACACTAAGTATAACTTCTCATCTGTAGACTAATGTCCTATACCGTGACCAGTGACGCGGTTCTGCTGACACTGTTAACCTTGAACCGTTGCTACGTTTAGCTATTGATCTAGGGTTCACACCCCTCAGTAAGATTTCCAGAGATATAAGTATTAATCTGATCAAATATCTTATCGATTGCTCAACATGAAATAATGTGTTGGCCACTCGCTGTGAAATCTAAATTCCTAGAGCTTAATCCTAGTTGCGTTTTGGGACCACACTTATAGGAAGTTCTGTACTGGGACGAAATGGATATTCAGTCCTATCTTTATGTAATGATAGTCCGGCTGAAATCAATCTGTAACTATTACCAATTTCAAATCAAAAGTATTCTCCACAAAACCACTTCTAAACAGTAACATAATCATATAGATTCAAGTTATAGAGGGATTGGATCCGTAGATCATTTGGATTGGGCTGACAAATATCACTGTTGGGGAAAAGTCTAAGCATCCTTCTTTAGAATTCATTACAAGGTCCGAGACCCTAACTGCCCCGTCTTATGCAACGGAAATGTGTTCCGACAAAAATCTACCATTTAAGATGTTGCCAAGCGGAAACTCTGGGCTACCTGTTCCTGCCATCTAGATATTTCAACAAGTTATCTATTGTTGTTTGTTTTAATATATCATTATGTTTATTAATCGCATAACCTATTCTGCTGCGTTTCTGAAAAGTGTACAACCTTTCGTTGTCAAAGTTACAGAAAACTCAATAAGAGACAATATGGTTGCTGGCAATGTACAACGAAAAGAATGTACTTTATTCAGTTGTTCACTCACTGAAGTGCTAACATCTAACTGGCGATTCCTCAATATTTATCGCCAGGACCGACCAAGAAGAAAGAAACGGAAACTTGTTGAAATACTTTGCGCTGAGAATTCTATATTGTACCAAAATTATAATATTGAATAAAGCTAATAATAATAATCAGCCAATATGAGTGTAGTTTTTGCAAATAAAACACTATATCACACGAAAATGGTAACAGTGCGATGCATTAGTGTTTATTCTTTGACTACGCTTTGAAATTATATAATCAGGACTTCCAAAAATAGTCTACTCTCATTTTGTCACAAACTATGAGGTTTGTTGTACTTTTAAAGTAAATTATTGTCTTGGAGGAAATTTCCTCCATACAATAGCCAGACATCGAGTTTATTCACAAAGTGTGATACTTAGAAGAGACTCTTCATTTACTTTATCAATTTAAGTCCTGAAAATTGTATGCACTGGTTTGAAATTAATGTTCAATAACCCTGGACGAATCATACACTTTCACTTATTTGATACAAAGTGTTATAAATGACTTCCAAAAGTTAGTTCATTTTTGGTTGTAAATATTGACTACTTTCTGTGTATAAGGCACTAAGAATACAAGGTTGAAGTATAAAAATTTTTCCAGTTTTCTACACATATCGATAACATTGACTAGGTAAATTAATCTAACTCCTACAATCCTTTTCAATCAAGGTAAAATGGATAGGCATTTGCCTTATCAAACTTGATGGTATTGATCCCAACTTTAGTGATGTTAAAATCGATTTTTGTGAGAACAGCGATGAAATTATATTTTTCATTCAGCTGTTCATGTGATAAGACTGCTAAACTATTTGGCTAGTTGTGGTTATCAATTTCCATTCAAAAGATTAGCCTGATTGCGTCCCATTGTCTGTTCAATGGAAAGCTTTATACCCTATTAAAGTAAGGAATATGATAAACAGTAGATATCATACTTTACTTTATAGATCTTCATAAGATATTCTCTTTAAGGTGCAGTTCTACTGATTTACAAATATTTGTAACGTGAATCAAACATCTGAGATCGGTTTTCTCTAACTGTCTTCAGTTAAAAATAAGATTATTTTTCAAACTTAAGTTGAGTCTTTTAAATTCATTTCATGCTTTAGAAAAAGCAAAAACAAACAATCAAATTAGTGTCAGTGGAATAAATTATCGTTATTTGACTACCTTTTTTCACCTGTATTATAATCAGTGATAAAAATATATCAAGTCATCTCTAAAACCATTCCTCTGTTCCTTTTGAAATTGTAACCAGAATTTACTGCTATGTAGTATAAATAGGTGGATTTTATTTCATGTGATATGAATGAGAGTTATCTAGAACAAAGTAATTCAAATCAATTTGTTCAAGAAAAGATAACAATATCACAATTACTATAGATTCTAATTTATTTTTCTTACATGTGTGATAATTAAAGGTCGGTTTACTCGAAGAAAATCAGAACAAAAGAACACGGAATCATTGAAATCATACTTTATTTTTACAACGGTTGATTGGATAACCCATTTCGGTGTTCAGTCGTTAATGCAAAAAAACAAACAAATAAAACACGAGACTGATCATGGTTGGTAAAATTTTACAACATAATGAGCAGATTTTCAATAGATTGTTGAAAAGCAAATCGATTATTCGCTGAGGAATTCCCATTATATTAGAACACTATTGTGTGGACGAAAGACGTTCTTTGTAATAATTTCCCATCAGTTTATTTCGTTAAATTCTTCATTTATCAGTAATTCATTACCAAGTTTATTTACGATGTATTTTACTGTGAATCTGATGTGAAAATAAAGGAGATATCTAATTGATAACCCTATTAATAAGTTCTTTCAAGGGATAATGATAAAATTCAGTCAACAATTGTGAGGAGTTGGATGGTTCGCAAGGTTGCAAAAAAGACTCAACTTATATATTTAAACTTTAATAAACACAAAATAGACTGGTAATTTCTAGTTTTCAACTTCTCATCAGAAGATATCACTTTGTAGGGAAGATTAATTTGAGAATAATAATAAGCCAACAGAATCACTTATTGGAATTCTATGTAAATCAAAAGACAAAATTGAGGAAA